GAAAGGTTTCTTTTGAGAAATGAGTTGATAGTCTTACAGACACTCCTTTGTAGGTAACTCTCTCGTTCTTTTTGCTTCTTTTAAGATTCTCTCTTTGTCTTTAATCTTGGGTAACTTCATGATGATGTGCTTTGGTGTATTTCTCTGTGGGTCCAACTTCTTTCAGACTCTCTGGGCTTCTTGGACTTGTATTTCCTTTGCCAGCTTGGGGAAGTTTTCCTTCATTACTTGTTCAAATCAGTTTTCAACCTCTTGCTCTTGTTCTCCTCCAGGCACCCCTGTTTCTGATGTCAGAGCACTTAGAGTTATCCCAGACTTTCCTAAGCTTCTCCTCATTTTTTTGGAATTCTTGTTTATTCTGTTCCAGTTGGATGTTTATTTCTTCCTTTTGTTCCTAATCATTGATTTGATTCCCAGTTTCCTTTCCTTCACTGTTGGTATCCAGTATATTTTGCTTTATTTCACTTTGGGTAGCCTTCATTTCTTTCTTCATTTTGTGACTGAGCTCAGTCAGTTCTGTGAGCATCCTGATTACCAGTATTTTGAACTCTACATAGGATAGGTTGACTATCTCCTCATCGCTTAGCTCTTTTTCTAGAGTTTTGATATGTTCTTTCACTTAGGCCATATTTCTTTGTCTCATTGCACCTGCTATGTTGTAAGGGGACAGGGCCTTAGATATTCCCCCTGGGCGAGGCACCCTCACTGCTGTGTTGTGGCACTGTCTGTGAGGGAGGGGTCAGAGGGAACAGCGCTGCTTACTTGCTTGGCTCTAGCCCCACTTTCTAATGAACTCCTTTGTGTGAGACTGGGAGTTTCTCGTGCCATGGCAACCTCCGCAGTACTTTACCACTAGCTTTGAGTCTTAAGTTTCCCATTCAGCCAGCCCTGCCTTGCCTGCACAGTCTGTCACCCTGCTGTGGGCCCTTCAGTCGGCCCTGCCTCACCCATGCGGTCTGCCACTGTGCGGTGAGTCCTCTCAACCGGCCCGCTCATTTTTCAATATGCAAAATATACATGTTTATGATCACACCATCTTCTCCATCTATCCCTCAACCCTCATTCCCACATACGTATTCATAGGAGTCTGGGGCATTGCACAATGAAAGTCTTTTTTATTCATAAATAAGTGAAAAGGTCTGTTTGAATAGCTAAAATATCAAGATGACATAAAACTCTCACTCCAACCTTTGTTTTCACCCTTTCCAATTCTCTATAGGTAAACATTTTTATTAGTTTTCTGCTCTTTTCCTGGTGTTTCCGGATGCAAATATAAGCAATTTAAAATGGATAGTGTTATCTCTCCATTCCACCCAAAGGTGACATCAAATATACTATTGGGCACCTTGCTTTTTTCACTTAATACATCCTGGCGCTCACTCCACACCCAGCATAGAAATCTTCTTCTTTTCCTTTCTTTTTTTCATTAATTTCTTATTTATTTACTGTAGTATTTTTAATTTTTGTTGTATTTTTTCACTATCATTTAGTCCCATTAACTCCGCTCTCCCCAGCAATCACCACACTGTTGCCCATGTCCATGAGTCCTTTCTCCTTTTTGCTCAATCCCTTCACTCCCTAGCCTCCCCCCAAAAGTCATATTTACTGTATTTTTTCCATTACCCCTTATGCCCTCTTCCACCTCCACCCACCTCTCCCCTTTGAAATCACCACACTGTTGTCCCTTTCCATGAATTATTTCTCTTTTTTGCTCTGTCCCTTCATGTCCTCAACACCCTCCCCCACAGAGTTGTCACCTTGGTCTCTATCTATCAGTCTGTCTCAATTTTGCTTGCTAGTTCAATTTTTTCATTATATTCTACATATGAGTAGAATCATAGGATACTTGTCTTTCTCTGACTGGCTTATTTCACTGCATGTGATGTTCTCTGGGTCCACCTGTGCTGTGGCAAAGGGTAAAATGTTCTTTTTTGTGGCTAAGTAGTATTCCATTTTTTTTAATATACCCTATGTGTTTTATCCACTCATCTGCTGATGGACATTTGATCTCCTTTTAAATCTTGGTTATTATAAATAATGCAGTGAACATAGGGGTACATATATTCTTTTAAATTAATGTTTTGGGTTTCTTCACATGAATTCCCAGAAGTGGAATCACTGAGTCATGAGGCAGTTTTATTTTTAGTTTTTTGAGGTAACTCCACGCTGCTTTTCACAGCAGCTGCAACAATCTGCATTCCCACCAACAGTGCACAAGGATTCCCCTTTCTCCGCATCCTTGGCAGCACTTGTTGATTTATTAATGATAACCATTTTGACAGGTGTGAGATGATATCGCATGGTGGTTTTTATTTTTATTTCTCTGATGATTAGATATGTTGAGTATCTTCTCATATGTCTTCCTTCTTCTTGAAGTTACTGGAATACTTTGAGACGGAGAAGTGTTAGTTTTTCTCTGAATTTTGGATAAAATTCACCCGTGAAGCCCTCTGGTCAAGGGCTTTTCTTTGTTCTTGGCAGTTTTTTTCTTTAATTACTGCTTCAATTTCACTTCTAATCTGTCTATGAAGGTTCTCTTATTCTTCCTGATTTAGTTTTGGAAGATTGTATATTTCAGAGGATTTATGCATTTCATGTAGATTGTCCAATTTATTGGCATATAGTTGTTTGTAATATTTTTCTTATAGTGTTTTGTATTTCTTTGATGTCAGTTGTTATTTCTCTTTCATTTCTGATTTATTTGGATCCTCTCTTTTTTTATGAGTCTGGTTAAGGGTTTGTCAATCTTGTTTATCTTTTCAAGGAACGAGTTGTTGGATTCATTGATTTTTTGTATTGTTCTTTTAGACATGTTGTTTATTTCTACTCATATTTATTATTTCCTTCCTTCTATTCACTTTGGACTTTGTAGTTCTTCTTGTTCATTTAACTGTGACGTTAAATTGTTTAGCTGAGCTTTTTCTTGTTTCTTGAAATAGGCTTGTAATGCTATTTCCCTCTTAGGACTGCTTTCCCTGTGTTCAACAGGTTTTGGATTGTTGTGTTCTCATCTTAATTTGTTTTAAGGTATCCTCTGATTGGTACCTTGATCATACCGTTAACCTACTCATTGTTTAATAATGTTATTTAGCTTCCTTGTCTTCATGTGCTTTTCAGTTTTCTTGTGGTTGATTTCAAGTTTCATATCATTATAGTCAGAGAAGATGCTTGATATGATTTCAGTCTTTTTAAATTTATTGGGACTTGGTTTGTGACCTACATGTGATCTACCCTAGAAAATGTTCCATGTGCATTTGAAAAGTATGTACATTCTGCTGTTTTGGAGCAAAATGCTCTGAAGATATCAATTAAATCCATTAGATCAAGTGTGTCATTAAGTCCAGAATTTTTTGTCTGGAAAATCTATTCATTGTTGTCAGTGGGGTGCTAAAATCCTCTGCTATGCTGTATTTTTGTCTTTGTCATGATGTCCATCAAGATTTGCTTTACATATTTAGGTGCTGCTATGTTGGGTGCATAAATTATTACTGGGTTATATCATCTTGATGGATTTTTTCATTTACCCTCATGCAATGTTCTTTTTTGCCTTGTAATATAGTCTTGGTTTTAAAGTGTATTTGTCAGATACAAGTATTGTTACCCTGGTTTTTTCCCCTTTTCATTTACATGAAATGTCTTTTTTTATGCCTTTGCTCTTAGTCTGTGTCTTTCACTCTGAGGTGGGTCTCTTGAAGACAGCATATATATAGGTCTCTTTTCCTTATTCACTCAACTACCCTATGTCTTTCTTTAATTTTTTAAAAATATTTTATTTATTTAATTTTAGAAGAAAAGGAAAGGAGAAAGAGAAGGAGAAAAACATCGATGTGTGAAAGATACATCATCCTGTTGCCTCTCACATGCTCCCTCCGGGGACATGGTCTGTAACTCAGGCATGTGCCCTCACTGGGAGTCTAACCACAACCTTTTGGTTCACAGGCCAGCACTCAATTCCCCGAGCCACACCAGCCATGGCATCCACTGATTGGAGAGTTTAAACCATTCACATTTAAAGTAATTATTGATAGATATGTATTTATTGTGTTTTTTTTTAACTATGCTCCTCTGTTCCTCCGTCTCCTCCTCCTCTTTTTACTTCCTCCTCCCTGCCTCCTACTCCCCCTTCTCCTCTTCTGCCTTCTTTTTCTTCCTCTTAAAGCAAAGCCTTTAACATTTGTTGTAATACTGGTTTGGCAGTAAAAAATTCCTTTACCTTTTTCTTGTCTGGGAAGCTCTTTATTTCTCTTTCAGTTTTAAATCACAGCCTTATGAGGAGAGACGATAGTGGCAAAGTAGGTGGGAGCTGAACCCACTTGCTCATGAACCCAGCTGGGACACTTAGCTGATCTTCTAAAGGACAAAGTCAACAGATCTTAGCTGATGTGAAGTGTGGAAGCCAAAGTGTGCAGAGGGTGCTTCAAAACAGGCGGTAAGGAGGTTTTATTGGCAAATGGTGAAAGTCCGTGGGTGTGGTGCCAAAAACCGTGGCTGCCACAGGGAGAACATCAGAGGAAAACCCGGTCAGTGATATCATCCTAGTGACTCTGTCCCCTCCCAGGGAAGGCAAATAGGAGGCCTGTGCCAGGAGAGACTTGAATACAAACAGTTGCCTTGGTGGGGGAGGAGAAGGCACACAGGTACACACACAGCTGGTGGCACAATGAAGTCAAGGTGGCAGTCACTGGTGGGAACACTGCCAGAGGGTGGGGTGGATCTTGGCTCACCTGGATTTGGGAAAAGAGGTGGGTGGCAACACAGATACACTCTGGACTTGTTAGAGAGTTTGTGTGGAAAGTTGGGCAGTGGCTCAGAGCAGCAGTGGCGCCCAAAGAGACATTTTTCAAAAGGAGAACTGAGGCACACTGTGCAGGAACCTCATGTGCAGCTGCCAGACCAAAGAGGAAGGTGTGTGGGCGTGATTTGCTCCAACTCAGTGCACCTCACAGTCTGATCAAAGGGGTGCAAAAGCAAGTGGCTTGTCAGCACCAGCCTCACGCAACAGTGCACAGTGGAGAGAGTGAGCTACCCAGAGTGGAGGTCATGAGTTGGAAACTGGACAACTGTGATTACTATAGCCCAGACTGAGCCTATATACTTGTTGAACCACAGGAAAGGAAAAATGGAAACCAGCCCCGCACTGCCTACAGGGATGGGGAAGATGTGCAAAGCCAGCTGGGCAGAATTAACAACCAGCAAGTGGTTTTTATTTTTTTCAAGAATAGGGCAGTAAGACCTGGAGCTGAAAAAGCTCAGAAGGTGAACACCAACAGGTAAGATAAATAACACATTGCTCTTCATCAAAATGTGCATGTGTTTTTAAATTTCACTAGTTATTTAGGGTTTTTTTCATTGTTCCTTTGTTTTGTTTTTTGTTTGCCTTTCATGTTGCATTTTATTTAAGTTTTCTTTATTCTCATTTAAGTACAGTTGTCTTCATTTGCCCTCATCCCACCCAACAGTGTACTAGGGTTCCCTTTTCTCCACAGCCTCATCAGCACTTGTTTTATTAATGATGGCCAGCCATTATGACTGGTATGAAGTGGTATCTCATTGTGGTTTTGATTTGCATCTCTCTGATGGCTGGTGATACTGAGCATCCTTTCATATGTCTCAGGACCTTCCGTATGTCCTCCTTGGAGAAATGTCTGTTCAGGTCCTTTTGGCCATTTTTTAACTGGGTTGTTTGTCTTACCAGTGTGGAGTCATGTGAATTCTTTATGTATTCTGGAGATTAAACCCTTGTTTGAGGTATCATTGGCAAATATATTTTCCCATACACTTTGTTCTCTTCATTTTGCTGATGTTTTCTTTAGCCATGCAGAAGCTTTTTAGTTTGATGAAGTCCCCTTTGTTGATTCTTTCCTTTATTCCCTTGCTCTAGGGGACATATTGGTGAAAATGTTGCTGTGCAGAATATCTGAGATTTTCCTTCGAATGTTCTCCTTTAGGACTTTTATGGTGTCGTGACTTATAAGTCTTTTATTTATTTTGTGTTTATTTTTGTGTATGGTGTAAATTGGTGGTGGAGTTTCAATTTTTTGCATGTCCAGATCTCCCAAAACTATTTGTTTAAGATGCCATTTTTACTTAATATTATGCTTCTTCCCCATTTGTGAAATATTTTCTTGTAGATTTTTTAATTTATTTTGTAGAGAGAGGGGAAGGGAAGGGGAAATAGGGAGAGAAACATCAATGTGTCATTCGTTGCCTCCTGTGCACCACCACTGGGGACCTGGCCTGCAACCCAGGTATGTGCATTGAATGGGAATCAGTGCACCAGCAGTTCTTTGATTCAGACCGGCACTCAATCCACTGAGGTACACCAGCCAAGGCCAAATATTAATTGACCATAGAGACTTGGACTGATTTCTGGGCTTTCCATTCTGTTGCATTGATTTCTATGTCTGTTCTTATCTCAGTACCAGACTGTTCTGATGACCATGGCCTTGTATTATACTTTGATATAAATGGAAGGTATTTATATTTTCCATTTTGATTTATACCCTTCCTCTTTGATATAAGTAGAAGGTATCACAATACTCAATGTAGAAGGTATTGTGATACCTTCTACTTATTTGTCCTTTCTCAAAATTGCTGTGGTTATACAGGGTTAATTATGGTTCCAAATAAATATTTGAAATGTTTGTTCTATATCTGTGAAATATATCATTGACATTTTAATAGGGATTTAGTGGAATCTATAAATTGCTTTAAGTAATACGGACATTTTGATGATGTTAATTCTTCAGATCCATGAACACGATATATGCTTCCATTTGTTGTGTTTTCCTTAATTTCCTTCTTGAGTGTTGTACAGTTTTCTAAGTACAGGTCTTTCATCTCCTCAGTTACAGTTATTTCTAGGTACTTTATTTTTCTTGTTGCTATAGCAAATGGGATATTATTCCAGGTTTCTGTTTCTGACATTTCATTGTTAGTGTACAAAAATGCCTTGTTTCTGATATTGAATTTGTATCCTGCTATATTGCCAAATTCATCTATTAGGTCGAGTAATTTTTTGCTTGAGTTCATAGAGTTTTCTATGTACACTATCATGTCATCTGCAAACAATGACAGTTTTGCTTCCTCCTTTCCAATTTGCATGCCTTTTATTTGTTCTTCTTGTCTGATCACCATGGCTAGGACTTCCAATACTATATTGAGTAGAAGTGGTGAAAGTGGACATTCTTATCTTTTTCCTGATCTTAATGGGAAAGCTTTTAGTTTTTGCCCATTGAGTATGATGTTGGCTGTAGGTCTCTCATATATGGCCTTTATTATGTTGAAGTATGCTCCCTGTATTCCCACTCTGCTGGGTGTTTTCATCATAAATGGGTGCTGTACCTTATCAAATGCTTTCTTACACCTATTGATATCATCATGTGGTTTTTTGTCTGTCCTTTTGTTTATGTGATGTTTTACATTAGTTGATTAGTGAATATTATATTATCCTTGATCCCTGGGATGAATCCCACTTCACCATGGTGTATGATCTTTTTAATACAGTGCTCAATGCAGTTTGCCAATATTGTGTTGAAGATTTCATCATCTATGTTCATCAGTGATATTCGCCTGAAGTTTTCTTTCTTTGTTGTGTCTTTATGTGGTTGTGGGATTAGGACGATGCTGGCCTCATAAAAAGACTTTAGGACTCTTCTTTCTCCTTGGATTTTTTGGAGTAGTTTGAGAAAGATAGGGGTTAGCTCTTCCTGATTTTTTTCGGTAAGATTCTTGTGTGAAACTATCTGGTCCAGGGCTCTTATATGCTGGGAGTTTTTTGATTACTGCTTTGATTTCACCAGCTGCTATTAGTCTGTTCAGACTTTCTGCTTCTAATTCATTCAGCATTGGAAGATTATGTTTTTCTAGAAATTTGTCCATTTCACCCAGGTTTTCAAATTTCTTGGCATATATTTGTTCATATAATTTCTTCCACTCATTAATATTTTTGTGGTATCAGATGTTATCTCTCCCGTTTCATTTCTGACTGTGTTTATTTGGGTCCTCTCTCTCTTGTTGATGATTCTGGTTAAAAGCTTGTCCATCTTATTTATTTTTTCAAAGAACCAGCTCCTGGATTTTTGACCCTTTAAATTATTCTTTTAGTCTCTATATGCCATTTAATTGTGCTATGATCTTGGTTATTTCTTTCTTCTACTTGCTCTAGGCTCTTCGTTGTTGTTCCTCCAGTTCTTGTAGGTGTGTGGTTAGGTTGTTTATTTGAAATGTTTCTGTCTTTTTTAGGTAGGCCTGATTTCTTCCTTGATCTCATTCTTGATCCATTCATTGTTTAATAGCATGCTATTCAATCTCCATGAGTTTGAGTGTTTTTGAGTTTTTCCTTGAGGTTGGTTTCTAGTTTCAGTCCCATGTACTTGGAGAAAATGCTTGCTATGACTTCAGTTTTCTTGAATTTGTTGAGACTTGTTTTTTTTTGTCCTATCCTGCAGTCTATTTTTGAAAATATTCCATGTGAATTTGAAAAGAATGTGCATTTTGCTGCTTTGGGGAGAAAGGCGCTCTATATATATATCAGTTAAATCCATTTCATCTAGGGCATTGTTCAATGCCACAATATTGTTGTTGATATTTTGTGTGGAAGATCTGTCCATTTTTGACAGTGGGGTGTTGAAATTCCCTATTATAATTGTGTTGCTGTCGATGTCTTTCTTGAAGTCCTCCAAGATTTTCTTTATGTATTTGGGTGCTTCTGTGCTGGGTGCATATACATTTGCAATGTTTATTCTTCTTGATGGATTCTTCCCTTGATTATTATGAAGTAACCTTATGAGTCTCTTTTTATGGCTCTTTTTTTGAAGCCTATTTTGTCTGATATGAGTATCACTGCCCCAGCTTTGTTTTCCTGTCCATTTGCTTGGAAAATTTGTTTACAGCTCTTCACTTTCAGTCTGTGTAGGTCTTTTGTCCTGACATGGGTCTTTTGTAGGAAGCATATGTGTGGATCATGCTCTCTTATCCATTCAGCTATTCTATGTCTTTCAGTTGGAGCATTTAATCCACTTATGTTTAAGATTATTATTGATAGGTACTTATTCATTGCCATTTATTTTGTACCTGTGTTCCTTTCTCTCTCACTCTTTTTCTTCATTTTCTTAAAGCAGACCCTTTCTTACAGAGCTGGTTTGGTGGAGGTGTGTTTTTTTAGACTTCTTTTGTCTGGGAAGCTTCTTTTCTGGCCGTCAATCTTAATTGAGAGCCTTGCTATGTAAAGTAGCCTTCGTTGCAGGCCTCAGATTTTCATTACTTGGAATATTTCTTGCTACTTTTTTTTCTGGCTTGTAGTGTTTCCCTTGAGAAGTCAGCTGCCAGCCTTATGAGGGCTCCCTTTTATGTTATTTTCTGTTTAATCTTGCTGCCTTCAAGATTTTCTCTTTGTCTTGGAATTTTGCCATTTTAATTATGATGTGTCTTGAAGTGTGCCTCTTTGGGTTCCTCTTGATTGGGACTGGCTTTGTTCACTTGATTTGTGTGACTTTTTCTCTCACCAAATTAGGGAAGTTTTCCTAATCATTACTTTTACAAACAGGTTTTCTATCCCTTTTTCTTCTTCTCCTTCTGGTATACCTATTACACAGATATTATGTTTCATTTTGTCTCGCAGCTCCCTTACCACCCGTTCGTTGTTTCTGAGTCTCTTTTCTTTCTCTTGCTCTATCTGGGTGGGGTTTTTTTTTTCTACTTTGACCTTCAGCTCACTGATTGGATACTTCGCTTAATTCGGCCTGCTTGTAATTCCTCCTAATGTGTTTTTTATTTCTGAGATTTCATAGTTCATTTCTTTCTGGTTTTTGTTTGTTGTTTCTATTTCCTTTTTCATGCTGATGGCGTTCTCACTCAGCTCCTTGTAGTTGTCTGTGAGTTCCTTAAAGATCTTTATAACCATTATTTTGAATTCTATATCTGGTAGTTTGGTTATGTCCATTTCATTTAGCTCTTAAGGTGGGGAGTCTTCCATTCCTTTTGATCTCAGGTTCTTTTTTTGTCTCTTCATTGTCTCCTCATTTTGTTTGTTTCTGTGCTTCCTGATGTTTCTCTTTGCTAACTGTCTTTGTAGGGTGAAGTTTTATGGTAGGAATTCTGTGGGACTCAGGGGTGTGGTCTCTTTGATCTCCTTGTCTGGATGCTCTAGGTTTGCCCTTTCTTCTGTTTGTGTGGACTCTCTTGTGGTACTTGGGTTTTTAACTTTTGGTTGTTCCTTTGTTGGTGGTTTTTCTCTTCCATGAGTATACTGACATTTGAAGCTCCCAGCTTCAAACATCAGCATGTGATCAGTAGCAGAGGGTAAGCAAAATGGATTAAGACATGAGGAGAGTATTTTATGGGATTTTAAGTACCAGTACGCTGAAAAGAGATAGGAGATTCCTTGGATAAATATAATGTTAACTGTGATATTTCACCTACCTAGACACTTTTTATAAAAGACAAAAGAGGTGAGACTCTTGAAGAGGAGGATTGTGAGCTGAATCCAGAAAGCAGAGCACTTCTACAAGGTTAGATGAAGGGATATAGTGAGATATATAGTGAGAGTAAAGGACAGAAAGTAGGCATTGTGTGAGAGAGAATAGTTAACCAGAACATTCATAATGTTCAGGATTGAAGTGAAGTGGCCTAATATCAGGGAAGGTTGCTGTGCAGTATGTACAATTGTATGGAACAACAATTATTTACACTAGTACTGGAACAATAATAATATGACAAGAAATACATGATTTGGATAATTAGAATGGAAAGTACCCAATCAAGAGCTGTGTGTTATTAGAACACTGGTGAAGTGAAAGAGGGAAAACTAAAATATAATAAAGTGAGAATAAGGAAAACCAGTCAAACAATGCAACTAAAAAGAAATAAAACTAGGGAAATTAAGTATGAAAAATAAAAAAATACTAATAAAAATGAAAGTGATAAAAATAATGAAAAATTAATACTAACACCTATAAAGCATAAAATGCAAGCTCTATGGGATAGCAAAGTGACATTTGTCTCAATTTCTCAGTTTTTGGGTCTTGTTCTCTCCCTCTTGATCTGTCTCTGGACCCTTTGTAATTCCATGTCTTATTGTTTCATTTGAGGGAAGAAAAACAAAGGAAAAATAAAGATAGAGGAAAGAAAAAAATAAACCTCCTGCTGAGTTCAAACCTGTTCAGTGAGTTCTGCTGGTATTTCTGGATTCCATGGGAAGAGGGGGCTGCACTTCCCTTTTCTCCCTTCCTATGGTTTTGAGAGGATAGAGTCAGGTCTGGGCTCCAATATTCAGTTTCCCAGCCTCTAGCCCAGGTCATCTATGAGCTTCCAGGCTCAAATCAGCCACTCAGCTGCTCACAGTGTGAGTCGGTCTTGGGTGTGCCGTTTCACTCAGCCAGTCAATCTTGGGTGAGCATCTCCAATCAGCCTGTGTGCACAGTGTGAGACAAGTTTGGGCCTGTGGCTCCACTGGGCCCGTGAGCATACACGAAGCTGAAATCATTCTTGGGGCACACCAGCTGCTGCTGGAGAGTTCCTTACAAAGCACCTGCCCTCTGTTCTTTATAAGCACATGGCTTTTCACACAGCCCAACTTTCCAACCAATCCAGAGACTGTCTGAGTCAGGGTCTGACAGGGCACAGCTCCTCCCTGCTCCAGGTGTCACCTGGCACCTCAGTTTCTCTGGTGCTGTCCTCCACAGCCACAGTGGATGTGTATCACCTCTGTGTGTCTCCCATTTTGTCTCTATTCCCCCCAGCGATTTCCAGCACCCATGTCCCTCCTGGTGCTGGGCTGCCCTCCCTGCTCTGGTAGGGGAGGGAGCTGTGGATCTAACTCTCCTCCCTGTATCCTGCAGCAGGTGCTTGACTGGGAGCTGCAGCAGTCTTGGTGCCCATGCAGATCCCAAGGATCTTACCATCCCAGCACAATCTCCTTACCATCTGTTTTTCAATATCCTCTGCAATTTTTGCCTCCAAACTTCAAATAAGCTGGGATTCTATTGATTCTTCACTCTGTTCCTCAGATCACCTAGGTGTTCCAGCTGGGCACAGGGAGAACTGAGTTCTGCTCCCACCTACCTCACCATCTTCTTCTGATCCCTAAATTCTGGGACATGCCATCCTGTTCTTCCCTGGACAAAGAATGAAGATCTCCTTCTGAGGCTTCACACTGAGTCTTCTGCAGACTAAAGAAGCTCAGGGCAGGTAAGCTGGAATCTGGGGTTGGTGAGCTGTGGTCTCAGTTGTATACCCTGACCTTTGTTCCCAGGAACCGACATCTTAGAGTGGACAACAGCAAGCAGCAAGACTCCTACTACCCTTGTGAGCAGCAGAACACTTCCACTCCTCTTCTTTCTTAACTCAGCTCACATTCTTATTTTCCTCCTATAAGAGTCTTACTACTTTTCCACCTTTTATAAGGTTTTATAAGGTGTGGAGAAGTGGGCAGACCCACTGAGGGCACAAGGCGTTGGACCCACTGAGAGTGCAAGGCGGTGGACCCACGGAGGGCTGACCATGGTCACACATTCGTGCACAGATAAATCAGTGAAGAAGCAATCAGTGAAATGAACCGAGCAGGGCCCAGAGGCAGGAAGTGGCAGAGGTAACTGCCATTGTCCCTCTCTGACCTGCTCCCAAATACAGTGTCACAAACCAGCGACCTGGGTGGCCCCGCCCTGGTGAACACCTAAGGCTCTGCTCCTCATACAAAACAGGCATGAACAGATCAAAGCATGGCTCAAGAACAACTCAGAGCCCCAGAGCCAATAAATCTAAGCAATGAAGAAATAGCCAAACTTTCAGATGCATAGTTCAAAACACTGGTGATCAGGATGCTCACAGAACTGGTTGATTTTAGTCACAAATTAGAGGAACATATGAAGGCTAAACTAATTGAAATGAAGGGAAATGCACAGGAAACCAATAATGATGGAAAGAAACTGGGACTCAAATCAAGGGAGTGGACCACAAGGAAGAAAAAAATGACCAAACAGAAAAGAATGAAGAAACAATTCAAAAAAATGAGGAGAGGCTTAGGAACCTCCAGGATATCTTTAAACATTCCAACATCCAAATTATAGGGGTACCAGAAGGAGAAGAGGAGCAGCAACAAGTGGAAAACTTATTTGAACAAATAATAAAGGAGAATTTCCCCAATCTGGCAAAGGAAATAGACTTCCAGGAAATCCAGGAAGCTCAGAGAGTCCCAAAGAAGTTGGACCCAAGAAGGAACACACCAAGGCACATCATCATTACATTAGCCAAGATTCAAATGAAGGAGAGAATCCTAGAAGCAGCAAGAGATAAGGGGACATCACCTACAAAGGAGTTCCCATCAGACTGTCAGCTGATTTCTTAAAAGAGACCTTCCAGGCAAGAAGGAGCTGGAAAGAAGTATTCCAAGTCTTGAAATCCAAAGACCTACAACAAAGATTGATCTATCAAGCAAAACTTTCATTTACAATGGAAGGACAGATAAAGTGCTTCTCAGATAAGATCATATTCAAGGAGTTCATCATCACCAAGCCCTTATTATATGAAATGTTAAAGGGACTTATCTAAGAAAAAGAAGATAAAAAATATGAACAGTGAAAGGACAGCAAACTCATAGTTATTAAGAACCACACCTAAAACAAAAGCAAACTAAGAGGACAGCTAGATCAGGAGCAAACCATAGAAATGGAGATCACATGGAGGGTTAGCAATGGGAGTGAGAGGAGGAGAAGCGGGGAGAAGGTACAGAGAATAAGTAGCATAGATGGTAGGTAGAAAATAGACAGGGGGCAGGGCAAGAATAGTATGGGAAATATAGAATCTAAACTTGTGACACATGGACATAAACTAAAGGGGGGGAATGGTGGGGGATGGGGTGTGCAGGGTGGAGGAGAATGAAGGGGGGAATGGGACAACTGTAATGGCATAATCAATAAAATATATTTTTTTAAAAACACCAAAGAAAAAGAAATGGTATAGGAAATAGAGAATTCAAAGAACTTATATGTACAACCCATGGTCAGGACCTAAGAAAGGGAATGCTGCAGGGTTGGTGGTCCAGGACACACAAGGGATAGAAGGAAAAAATTGGGAAAACTGTAATAGCATAATTAATAAAATATACTTAAAATAAGTGAATTTGGGCAAACATCAGAATACAGAGTCAACATTCAGAAATTGAAGGTACATTTATACACTATCCGACATTTCAGAAAGAGAAATCAGGAAAAAAAATCTTTGTTTGCTATAGCAACAAGAAAAATAAAGTACCTAGGAATAACTGTAACCAAGGAGGTAAAAGACCTGTACTCAGAAAACTACACAACACTGAAGAAAGAAATTAAGAAAGACACAAACATGTAGAAGCATGTACCATGTTCATGGATTGGAAGAATTAACATCATCGAAATGTCCATACTAGCCAAAGCAATTTATACATTCAACACAATCCCTATTAAAGTACCAATGACATATTTCACAGATATAGAACAAACATTTCAAAAGTTCATGTGTAACCATAAATGACACCAAATCATCGCAGCAATTTTGAGAAAGAACAAAGCAGGAGGGATCACAATACCTGATATCAAACTATGTTACAAGGCCATGGTCATCAGAACAGTCTGGTACTGGCATAAGGACAGAAACATAGATCAATAGAACAAAATAGAGAGCCCAGAAATAAACCCATGTCTCTATGGTCAATTAATATTTGACAAAGGGAGCAGAAGCATAAAGTGTAGTAAAAATAGCCCCTTCAACCAATGGTGTTGGGAGATCTGGATAGCTACATGCAAAAAAATCAAAATCCTTCACCAACTTACACCATAACAAAAATTTACTCAAGATGTATAAAAGACTTAAATAAAGTCATGATGCCATAAAAGTCCTAGAGGAGAACATAGGGAGAAAATCTGATATTCCATACAGCAGTATTTTCACCAATTTGTCCCTTATAGCAAAGCATGTAAAGAAAAGTATAAACAAATGGGACTTCATCAAATTAAAAATCTGCATAGCTAAAGAAAACATCAGCAAAATGAAAAGGGAACCAACCATATGGGAAAATATATTTGCAAATGCTACCTTGGACAAGGGTTTGATCTCCAAAATATATAAAGAACTCACATGACTCCCATCCAGGAAGACAAAAAAATCCAGTTAAAAGATGGGCAAAAGACCTGAACAGATACTTCTCCAAGGAGGATATTCAGTTGGTCCAGATACGTAAGAAAGAATGCCCAGAATCTCTAGCCATCAGAGAGATGCGAAGTAAAACCACAATGAGATACCACTTCACACAGGTCAGATTGACCATTTTAACCGAATCACCAAACAAGCGTTGGTAAGAAGGGAATGCTAGTACACTATTGGTTGGAGAACAGATTGGTGCAACCAGTGTGGAAAACTGTTCGGAACCATCCTGCCTGGTTTCAGAAACTGTATCCCTGTATACAGGGGAAAACACCCGACGGCTTAGGGGACCTTGGGACCATAAGCCACCTAGGAGACAAACTTTTTCACTTGGCAGGGGTGCAACCTCTGCTCCCTTTACTTCACCCTGCTTGGTCTGTGAAGGATGGCTGGAGAGTCAATTATGGGTAAGATTCCTCAAGGAAGAAACAGCCTGACAGGCAGAGTCTCAAAGGGGCCATCAGGGAATGATTTAGGGGATTTGGAGGAGGGACAAAAGACCCTCACCCCTCAGCTTTATCAAAGCCTGAGTCCTCATTCTAGCTGTAAAATGTCTCCTAATCTCTTGGCTGCCTTGCTTCCCCCACCTGATTCAGGCCTGTTATCACCCAAAGGCAGGAGGATGCATCCCTGTGCTCAAACCAGCGTTTCCCAGTGTCAGGGGGTGGGGGTGGCAATCAGGCCCAAGAAAGAATGCATTAAATCCTGTGAAAACTGCTTTGCTAAAAATGCCCTCAATTTAAATGTTAAGGGTCCAAGCACAAAATATGTTTGCTTCCCCAGCTTTTATGGCCAATTGGTGTCACCCTGTCTGTCAGACCCTGACTCTAAAGGACCCCTATGATCCCAGAAGTGTTATATGTAAACCATATCTCCTTTCTTTGATACGCATCCCTATGCAAGCTAAACCCAAGAAAAGCCCATTGAGAGAGAGGCTTGAGACCTTTCTCCTTTGAGAGACTGGTCAGCCTTTTCTCCCCAAGCCAATCATGTCTTGATAGACTTTCTCTCATCTGCAGCAGCTGGGAGAGCTCTACTGAATGAGGCTCCCCCACAGAAAACATCATAGAATTCCCTCAGAAAACTAAAACTGAAACTGCCTTTGACCAGACAGTTCCACTGTTGGGCCTATACCATAAGAATCTTGGAGCACCAATTCAAAAGAACCTATGCATCCCAAATTTCATGGGAGGACAATTTACAATAGCCAAGTGCTGGAAGCAACCTAAGTGTCCATCAGGAATTGAGTGGATCAAAAAACTGTGGTACATTTACACGACGGAATACTATGCAGCAGAAAGAAAGAAGGATCTCCTCCCATTTGTAACAGCATGGATAGAACTGGAGATCATTACGCTAAGTGAAATAATCCAGGCAGTGAAAGACAAATGCCATATGATCTTACCTATAAGTGGAACCTAGTCAACAAAACAAGCAAGGAAGCAAAATATAATCAGAAACATTGAAATTAAGAACAAACTTACAGTAACCAGAGGGGTGGTGGGAGGGGGTAATGGGAGGGAAAGGGGGAAGGGGAAAGAAACATGTATAAAGGACACAAGGACAAAGCCAAAGGGGGCTAGGATTGAGGGTGGGAGGTAGATGTGGTTGTGGTGGAGTAATAGTTGTGGAAAAATGGAGACAACTGTACTTGAACAATAATAAAAAATGAAAAAATAGAAAGAAAAACCTTGTTGGGCACCTACCAGACTATTGATTTATACCCCAAAGCTATTGTCATTCATGTTCCCCTTACCTTTCTTTACTTTGAAGGCTGGAAAGGTGACCACCGGCTCCCAGTCTCCTAGGAACAACCATGCCACACAGCTCTGGCTTGTGAGATGATGGCTGAAATCCACAGGTATTATTTCCTTTCCTGGAAGATGTACTGTCTTTTTTTTTTTTTTGGCTTCTGTACCTTTTTCCTTCTCTTTTTCTTCCCTACCCTAACTTCCTCATGAATCAAATGGCTACCTTCCTCTGTGATGAGACTAGCATGAGGGTGAAAACCAGCATGTGGAGCTTGGCTTAGCAGAAGTTAGAAATGTACTAGTTATTGAGTTGGTAAAAAAAAAAGCTGTATTTTTTTTCCATCAAATAAAAAGCACATTTTTCATTTTCATCAGTAACTATTGATTTGGATATTTTGAGTTTGTCAGCTATCTCTCTCATGATATAATGTTGACCGTTCTCAGTTAATGTCTTGATTTAATTGCTATCAACTTTGATTGGTCTACCTGACCATGGAGCATTATCCAGCAAGAAATCTCCAGCATAAAACTTCTCAAACCACTTTTGACATGTTCAACCAGTCACAGCACCTTCTCCATACACTGCACAAATCTTTTTGGGTTTCAAATGCATTTTTACCTTTCTTGAAATAATAAAGCATATGCAGGAAATATTGCATTTTTTTCTATTTTCAATATTAAAATGGTTAGACAAAAGCTCACCATATTTTTTCTTTTTTAATTAATTTATTTAATTGTTGTTCAAGTACAGTTTTCTGTCTTTTACTCCCATCCCAGCCCACCCGCCCCCCAGTGCTCCCCACGTTCCTCCTCTTTCCACCCTCCTTAGTTTTTGTCCATGTGTCCTTTATACTAGTTTCTGAAAATCCTTCCCCTTTTCTCCTGAAATTCCCTCCCCTCGCCCCTCTGGTCACTATCAGCCTGTTCTCTATTTCAGTGTCTTCGGTTATATTTTGCTTGCTTGTTTGTTTTGTTGTTCAGGTTCCTGTTAAAGGTGAGATCATATGGTATTTGTCTTTCACTGCCTGGCTTATTTCACTCAGCATAATGCTTTCCAGTTCCATCCATGCTGTTGCAAAGGGTAGGAGCTCCTTCTTTTCTTTCTGCTGCATAGAATTCCACTGTGTAAATGTACCATAGTTTGGGGAACCATTCATTTACTGATGGGCACCTAGGTTGCTTCCAGCTCTTGGCTATTGTAAATTGTGCTGCTATAGGCCCTGGCTGGTGTAGCTCAGTGGATTGAGCACAGGCTTGTGAAACAAAAAAAAAATCACCAATTTTAATGTATTTTTTTAATGCATGCTGATAGGACAGCTTTCACAATACAGTCTAACAAAATTGTTTTGAATGAAGTTAAAGACAACTAAGTATTACAAGAGCCATCTTACAGGAAAAAAAATGAGCCTTTTGGCCAACCCAATACTAAAATCCAAAAGTTTGGATAGCACACTTTGCTGTATCAATTTAATGACTTTGCCAAGTAGCATCTTAGAAGCCTTGGCCACAAATTCTTATGGTTGCTAGAAACCTGAAATTAAGTTTTGCTGTTGTGATCTTCCAGTAAATTCTTGAGATATGTGTTTGTTGTCACTGTTTAACTCTTGCCTACTTAAGGAAAGAGACTTCTTTCCAACAGGGTGGTTTTTTTAAGTAGTCCTTTTCTTCTTCCCACATGACCCCACAATTGCACTAAGCAGGTTTTGGATGTTTTGTGAAACTTGTGTCATTTAAATGTTTTCCAAAAATATTTTGAAGATGTTTCTATTTCAATCATTGACCTGATGTTGATGTGAACAGAATCTAAAAGTAGACTCTTAAATATAAAGCTATTGTGGTTGGCGTATGTGAAGCAAATGGCAATTATCAAAGGGTTATAATTTTCATAAATTTGTTTGAATTGAAAACTACTGTAATCTTTTCTGGAATTTCTGAGGAATTTCAAAAGGAACTCAATTAGTAATACATAGCAACATTTCTTTTGAAAATGACACCCAGAAGTGGCATTTCTCAATTCATACCACTTGTCTAGCCTGGGCATGTGAAACAATTAGGGTAATAATTTTGGCATGTGATTTAGAATTACTTCTCCTAATCCTCACAAGTAGATACTATTATCATCTCTGTTGTGGAGACCTAAAAATGGTGGCTTAGAGAGGTAAATTCATCTCTCTAATGACACACAACTGGTTAAATATTGAAAGGGGCTCTCTGGTGTCAAAACCCCAGTCTTCCTTTGGCCTCAACCCTGTGTAAGGGCAACTTACATTACATGCATGTTTAAAACCTTTTTTATTACCCCTGTCCCTCCTTCCAAATCAATCAAACCATACCATTTATAGTATTGTTAAAGGCCCAGAGTTCCATTTGAAGTTGTTACTAAGAAGTTGATGAAATATGACTGGCCCTCTATGATAGCCGTGCCTAAATCCTATTCACCCCTCCCAGCCACACTCTCAGCCTTGTTAGGAGATTTTACTACTGAGGAAATTATTCTGTAGGCTGTAATTTATGAAAGTTTCAGATCTTTTTGATTTATGCTGTAACTGTTCAACTATACTTTCACTCCACCCTGATAAAAGAACTTAGAAAGAAGCATATTTGAATAAATATGATACTTTTGTTAAAAGTTCCTATGAACTGAAATATCTTTTTTTTGATGATCAAAAAAATGTTCTATTTTTTAAATATATTTTATTGATTATGCTATTATAGTTGTCCCATTTTCTTTCTTCCCTTTGTTTCCCTACATCCTGCACCCCCCTCCCACCAGCATCACCCCCTTAGTTCATGACCATGGGTTGTACGTATAACTTCTTTGGCTTCTGCATTTCCTATACTGTTCTTAACCTCCCTCTATTTTTTACCTACCATTTATGCTTCTTTTTCCCTGTACCTTTTCCCTCATTCTGCCTAGGGCCCTCCCCACTGATAACCCCCCATGTGATCTCCATTTCCGTGATTTTGCTATTTTAGTTGTTTGCTTAGCTTGTTTTTGTTTTTTTTTTTTTAGGCCCAGTTATTAATAGTTGTGAGTTTGCTGTCATTTTACTATTCATATTTTTTATCATTTTCTTTTTCTCAGATAAGTCCTTTTAACATTTTATATTAAGGGCTTGGGGATCATGAACTCCTTTAACCTGACCTTACCTGGGAAGTACTTTATCTGCCCTTCTATTCTAGATGATATCTTAGCTGGATAGAGTAATCTCAGATGTAGGTCCTCGACTTTCATGCCTTAGAATACTTCATTTCAGCCCCTTCTTTCCTGCAAGGTTTCTTTTGAGAATTCAGCTGGTAGTCTTATGGGCACTCCTTTGGAGGTAACTCTCTTTTTTCCTCTTGCTCCTTTTAAGACTATCTCCTTATCTTTAATCTTGGATAATGTAATTATGATGTGCCTTGGTGTGTGCTTCCTTGGGTCCAGTTTCTTTGAAACTCTGAGCTTCCTGGACTTCCTAGAGTTCTTGGAAGTCTATTTTCTTCACCAGATTGGGGAAGTTTTCCTTCATTATTTGTTCAAAAAAGTTTTCAATTTCTTGTTCTTTCTCTTCTTTTGGTACCCCTATGGTGAATACTTAAGGCTCCACCCCACCATACATTGTAACAGGCGAAGAAAAGAGATATGGCTGATGAACCAAAGCTTGATAGATATGAGAAGGTATGGTGTTGGAACATTTAAAGTTGTCCTGGAGATTCCAAAACCTCTTTTTTTTTTTTTTAATTCTTCTTTCTTCATTTTGTTCTGGTTGAATGTTTATTTCTTCCTTCTCCAAGTCATTTATTTGACTCTCAATTTCCTTCCCATTATTGTTGGTTCCTATTATTATGCTTTATTTCACTCTTCATAGCCTTCACTTTTTCTTCTATTTTGTGACCATACTCAACAATTTCTGTGAGCTTCCTGATTACCAGGGCTTTTAACTCTCCATCAGATAGGTTGGCTGTCTCATCATTGCTTAGTTCTATTTTTGAAGCTTTGATCTGTTCTTTCATTTGGGCCATATATCTTTTCTTTTTGTCTTGGCTGCCTGTTACATTGTATGATGGGGTGGAGCCTTAAGTATTCACCAGGGCAGGGCTACCCATGTTACTACATCGTGGCACTTTATGTGTGAGAGTGGTCAAAAAGGGAACAATGCTTCTTTCTCAGCTCTTGCCCTGCTTTCAGTCACCCTGCTACCCACAATCAAATTTGGCCCTTCTGGTGCTGATTCCCAGGTGGGTGGGCTTGTATATGTTCTAGGACCCTTTGGGTCTCTCCACAAACTCTCCTGTGAGGTTGGGAGTTTCTATGTCCACTGCAACCCCCACAGGATTTTATAGACAGAGATTTTGAGGCTTTATTTCCCCATGCTGGAGCCCTGGGTTGTTCAATCTGTCCCATTCCCCAGTTGTTCCTCCTCATTTATCTGCATGCAAATATAGGACCGTCTGGTCTGCCAGCCACTGCCTTGCTATGTCTCCAGTAAGTCTTTTTTTTTTTTTTTTTAAGATTTTATTTATTTATCCTTAGAGGGGAAGGGAAGGAGAGAAGGAGGGAAATATCAATGTATGGTTGCCTCTTGTGAGTCCCCTGCTGGGAACTGCCTTGCAACCCAGGCATGTGCCCTGACTGGGAATCGAACTGCAATCGTGGTTCGCAGGCCAAGCTCAATCCACTGAGCTACGCCAGCCAGGTTAAAGTCTCTTAATTTTCCATTCACTTTACATGGAGCCGAAACACAGCCTCATGGTGCCCTCTTGTGGTTAGTTGCAGGATGGTGGTGGAATTTCTCTTTAAAAACGACAAAGAGAAAAAAAGATGTCCTGCATATGTTTTTAGACAGCAGTAAGTTTTGAGATGTGACAGTCTTGTCAAAACAAAGCAATTCAACAAACTACAAAGTAACCACCACAAAATATTTGTAGACACATTCTCAAGTCTTGTTGACAGAGTCTTGCAGTGAAATGTGCCAAAAACATTTTAAAGAACAATCAATAAGATGTGAAAGGGAAGTGGGGTGTTCACATTTATGTGTGTGAGAATTAAGACAGGGACCCAAAAGAAAACCAACTGAGAAATAGAGGCAGAACATTAAGGACAAGGAAGGACAGAACTTCAGATT